ACAATATATTAAATCTTGTAATAGTCGCGCGACATTAAACAATAAAATGCATATAAACTCAAATGCATAATGCATATAAACTCAAATGCATTTTACTTAAAAAGCTTCTAGAGAAACTGTGAGCCTTCGTGCTCTATGTCCGGCATCCGTCCGATAATTTTCCGGTCAAATTTTCTTTCTCTTTCCTTATTCCTTACCTCCTTTTGCTTCTACTCCTACTACTCTTTGATTTTGGTTCCTTCCTCCTTTTCCTTTGTTTCCTTTTATTTTCCTTTTCTTTCTTGGGTTTTCTCTCCTCCTGTATAGTTCTCCATCCTTTCTTTTCCCTTTCTTTTCCTTTGGTTCCTTTGTTGTTTGTTCTTCCACCATCCTTTCTTCCCCAGTCTCCACTCTCTTTACCTTTTGTTTTTCTGCTGTTTCCCTTAATCTAGTCTTCATTTTCATTGTCACTTCCAAATCCCAATTATCAAACCATATTAGATTAATCATGGCAAAGAGAAAAGGAAAATTATGCCCTCCTTTTTTTCGACAGGGTTATATGTTTTTTTTTTTTTTTTGGATTACTCGATATTCAGAAACTTATTGAATCACCGATTAATCTGAATTTGAATCAAATAGAACCCAACAAACGGTAAAACTCTTTCTCACAATAGGTTACATATTAATTGGAGGTATTTAGGGGAAAAAAAAAAAAAGAACTTGAATTCAAATCCAACGAAAAATCCCAAATGGAAATCAACCACTTGCTCTACTCGAGGTTTCTTGAAAATTATGCTCTCCTTGTTGCTAATATTATGGGAATGGGAATAGAATTTATGTCACTTGTTATTGTTTAGATTAAGGAAACGGAGAGAATAGGAAAGGAAAAGAAAGTTTTTTGTCTAATTAAATTAAGATTTTAACTTCACCTCTTTGTTTGATTGATTAATGTAATCAGGATGGGATTGACCCGGTTGGATCTTGGAGAAGAAAAAAATCTTTTGGAGCCGGGCTTTCTCAATGAGTTTTTGTCCAAAAAAATAGAAGGTGATGAAATGGGCTGTCCCAATGCCCACCAGACCCCTGAATTGAGCCTGACCCAAGATTTCAAATTCTTTAATTAATCAAATTAATTAACTTTATTTAATATTAATTAATTAGTTTAATTAGGTCTAATTGAAATTAATCAAGGCTTCATCAAATTAATTAGGATTTAATTAAAGTGATTAATTAATTTGGATTAATTTTAACTAATTACTAGGCTCTAAAAGTACTGCACATTTTTAGTAATTATTGAATGTAATAATATTTACTTTAATTATTTTTAAAAATCAAAATTAATATGCATTAACTTTTTAATTTATTATAAACATATATCTAACTTCAATACCAAGTAAACTTTTTTTTAGATAAACACTATAGAGTTACAATGAAAAAATAATTATTAAATAATTAAGATTGTATAAAAAAAATTATCTATAAAAATTGCCAAATAAAAATAGCATTAGTGTGTTTTTTGCCGTGTTAATTGAAAATAAAATTAAAAAATAAGTACCAAATATTTTAATAAAATAATACAATAAATAAACCTTTCAGATAATTATAAATAGATAAAATGAGAAATCATCACACAAATGATTTTTCTTTTTTCTTTTTTTTTCTGGATATTCACAAATGAAAATTACAGTATTTAATAAAAAGGTTACGGCAGAGTTTAACTCATTTACCATAGTTAAAAGTTAAAATTACTTCCCAAAATAATAGTAGGAGTTGTTTATCTTGTGTCATAAAAATATAAAATAAAAAATAATTATTAATTAATAATTATTTTTAAAGATGTAAAATTTTAAATTTAGAAAATAAATTTTAATTTTAATTTTAAAATAAAATAATTAAAAAACTGATATTTATAATTAAAATAAAAATTAATTTTATTATTTTTAAAATAAAAAATAATTATTATTATATAATAATAATTTTTTTATGACACATGATAAATAAATTCGTAATAAAAAATGGGCCTAAAATTACATTTTAAAATTAATCGTTTAAATCAAATAATCAATCGCATATTTATCTGCAGAAGTTTTGACAAAAACGCAAGATGCTGTCTTTGCGACTCCATTTTCAATTGAATCCAATGTTCAGAGCCCTTAAACTCAATTTCTCAGTTTCGTTCAACAATGTAAGTCTCTCAATTTCTGTCTCTTAATTTGGATTTTCATGGCTTCTTACTCTCCCTTTGCTTCTCCGCTGCACACTGCAATCCTGTCCCCAAAAACCAAACCCAGAAGGAACCCCAGAAACCCCCTATCAAGCAACAGGTACCCTTCAATTTCTTGTCAAATTCATAGCTCAAACTGCAGTGAAGATAGTAATGATGATAAAACCAGGAAAACCCAGTTCAATTTTCTCATAATTCCCGTAAGTCTCACTGTATTCTCCACTTCCCTACCACAAAAATCCCTTGCAGCAGCTAAAGTATCTGATAGGAAAAGGGCCCAGAAGAAAACCCAAGAAGCATTGACGCCGGAGCAGCTAAAAGCATGGTCAAAGAATCTTCCCAATGTGTCAAACCGTATTCCATATACTGAGATATTGGGTTTGAAGAATGAGGGGAAGCTTAAACATGTAATTAAACCTTCTAATGTAGGTTTGAGGAAGCTGGCAGAGCCAGTTTTGGTCGTTGTAGAGGATTCTAGGGTGTTGAGGACTGTTTTGCCATCCTTAGAGAGTGATAGGAAGTTTTGGGATTCATGGGATAAGTTAAAGATAGATTCTTTGTGTGTTAATGCATATTCTCCCCCTGTTAAGAGGCCGGAGCTACCTGCCCCATATTTGGGGTTCTTGTGGAAAGTGCCTGCATTTATGTTGTCATGGTTTGAACCCAAGAAAGAGTCAAAAAAGACCGGAGAATTGAGGAGGGCAAGGATGGAATATGAAAGGCTAAGGAAGGAGGAATTGGAAAGATCAAGGACGGAGAGGGAAATGATTGAGAAGACAATAACAATGCAGAAGAAACAGGAGGAGAGGAAAAGGAAGCGAGAGATTAGGAAGAAGAAGTATGAGGAATCTCTGCGTGAAGGTAGGAGGAATGAAAGTATAGGAATAGACTGGGGAAAGTTGGTGTATGATAAGAATGTGACTCTTGTACTTGGAGTTGTGTTCTTTGTGATATTTTATAACACAGTTGTGCTTAGCTATAAGAAGCAGAAGAAGGATTATGAGGATAGGTTAAAGATTGCGCAGGCAGAGGCAGAAGAGAGAAAGAAGATGAGGGAGTTGGAGAGGGAAATGCAGGGGATTGAGGGTGAGGATGAGGGCGATGAGACAGAGCAAGGTGGTGAACAGAATCCTTATATGAAGATGGCCAAGCAGTTCATGAAGTCAGGGGCACGTGTTCGGAGGGTACATAATAAGAGATTACCACAGTATTTGGAGAGAGATGTGGATGTGAAGTTCACGGATGTTGCAGGACTTGGTAAAATACGGCTTGAACTGGAGGAGGTTGTGAAGTTTTTCACACATGGGGAGATGTACCGAAGGAGAGGAGTGAAAATACCAGGTAAAGTCTTGCCTAACCCTGATAAGTTGTTTTCACTTGTTTTCATTTTTCTTTTTCTTTTTTTTTTTCTCTTATTTTGAACTTAAGCAGTGGAATTATACATATTGTTTGTCTGAGGAAACCATTGGAGCTAGATTTCTAGTTTGGGAGAGCTCATCATTGCTCTGCTGACTGCTTATTTGCTTTACTTTTTGTTCTTTTGGTGGAATCCACGGAACACTGCCAGACAAAAATAATTTTGGGAGGTAGACTAAAACTGCAGTTAGCAGTTAACTTCAGAATTTTAAAAACAAGAGTATATAGTGAAAAGGAATATTAATATTTAGGTTTATCATATGCCTATGTCCTATTGGGACAATCATGTCATTGAGTTATGTAATGTAACAGCATGCATTGTGCTAAGAATCAAATCAAGGCTAAACAATATGTTTCTCGTATAAAATTGTGGTTATTATTTTTTAATAGCTATATTATTTCACATCCTTTTCTGTTTCATTGTAGTTGCTATACTCACCTCAACTATCTTCATTGATAAAATTTTTGTGTACTATAAAAGAAATTTAGTCTTGCTGCCATTTTTTCCCTGCAGCAGTCAACCATGCAACATGTAAATTGCATCCTACTACTTAATACATGGCCTTTCTCCAGTCAAAATCAGAAGGTTCTAGTAATTGTGTGTTATACATCCACTTGACACTAGAAATGAAGGATCTACCCCAAGGTTATTAGTTATTTCTTATGTGGTTTATTTTTCATTACCTATTCTTGTAATTTGGCCCTGCATACAGGACAATAAGGTTACTCTGGTGCCTAACTGATTGGCGGTGACAGAACCTGTATCATTTTCCACAGGCTCAAATACTACCTTCATCTTATATTCTATTTAAATTATCTTGACAGTAGTATATCTTTTAGTTAGCTAGTTGAACATCTTTATAAATGTAGATTTTCCTCATCAGTCACTACACATAATTTCAAGTACCGTTAAAAAAAAAAAAAGTCATTGCACATAAAAATAAAAATAAAAAAGAAAAAATGATTTTCCTAATCATTTTAAGCAGATTTTGTTCTGTGCCTGTATTATATATCTTATTTGTCTTTTGCTTGATTGTCTAGAAATATTGCTTGATTTTTTTTTTTTTTTTTTTTTATGGTTATGGATTTTGATTTCTGGTTTCCTTGTGTTATGCTTGTCATTTTTCTGTTTTGGTTACTTTTTCAACTGCATATGCTTAGAATACTATCAAATTAAAATTCTGTTGATTATAATCTTTTTTTTTTCCTCAGTGGCCATGCAGTAGTTTGATTGATATTTCTCTTATTCTGTTTTGGTTCTATAGCCATTTTCCTTTTCAGCACTTTGCACTTGACTCATTTCTGATTTGATTGGTTTCTCAAACAGGTGGAATACTTCTTTGTGGCCCACCTGGAGTGGGAAAAACTTTACTAGCAAAAGCTGTAGCTGGTGAGGCAGGAGTCAATTTTTTCTCTATTTCTGCCTCTCAATTTGTGGAAATATATGTTGGGGTTGGTGCATCTCGTGTCCGAGCACTTTATCAGGAAGCTAAGGAAAATGTAACTGTTGTCTTCTCTTGATTTATTGTCCTCTCTTTCTTTTCCATGTCTGAATCAATCAAGTTCCATATATTTGGACTCATGTTATCCGCATATCTGTGTTAGCTCCTGTTGTTAATGATTTCTAGTGATGTTGTTTCATCACTGTGAACTAACTTGATCTACCTGGTTTAATGTGTTCTGTTCTTTATACTACTCTTGATACTGCTTTCACGACATGTTAAGATTTTCGGTGGTGTTCCTATACTGCAGTTTGTCATTTATTTTGTTCTTGTTTGTTTGTGTAGGCTCCATCTGTTGTGTTTATTGATGAGCTGGATGCTGTTGGTAGGAAGCGTGGTTTGATTAAGGGTTCTGGTGGACAAGAACGTGATGCTACTCTAAATCAGGTTCACATGGGCACATTTTCTCTTAACTTAAGAAGTTGCTTCTCTTTTCCAATTAAGAAAATTGATTTCTTTACTTTCTCTTCTTCAATGTGTTAAACAAGTTTTCAAATTTGTTGCACATCAGCTTCTTGTATGCCTAGATGGGTTTGAAGGAAGAGGAAATGTTATCACTATTGCTTCCACAAATAGGCCAGACATTCTTGATCCTGCACTTGTGAGACCAGGACGGTTTGATAGAAAAATCTTTATCCCTAAGCCTGGACTCATTGGTCGTATGGAAATTCTACAGGTATGATGCATAAATTCTCTTACAAAATGCTGGTCTGTAATTCTGTATTTACCCTGCTCAAATGGTTTTTCATGGTCCAACTTACTTCTTTAGTCTTAATTTTTAGCTTCATTTTCTGCTTGCAGGTTCATGCCCGTAAGAAGCCAATGGCCGAGGATGTGGATTATATGGCTGTTTCTAGTGCAACAGATGGAATGGTTGGTGCAGATCTGGCCAACATAATTGAGGTTTCTGCTATCAATATGATGCGTGATGGAAGGACTGAGGTACTACCAACTTTTCTTGGTGGTGTACTTACTTGTATTCATTTTTGAGATCAGCTTTTCTTTTCTTTTAACGTTGCAGGAATAAGGAGTGCTATAATACATATTGGGAAAATTACCATTTTAGATTTGATTTTGGTAGCTCTGATTTATTGGAATGTTACTGCTCTTAACCTGACTCAACATAGTGATGCTTAACATGCAGCATTTTACTTTTTGTAGATTACAACTGATGATTTACTCCAAGCTGCACAAATGGAAGAAAGAGGAATGCTAGATAAAAAGGAAAGGAGCCCTGCAACATGGAAACAATTGGCTATCAATGAAGCAGCCATGGCCGTTGTAGCTGTTAATTTTCCTGATCTAAAAAATATTGAATTTGTATGGCCTTTACCATTGTTTTGCCATTTTCTTTCTTATATTCCATTTTATGTGCACAATTGCTTTAAGGATGTGGATCCTTTATATCTGTGTCATTGATGGCATGATGAGAAAATGATTAGGTTTCCAATGAAAAAA